GTGGACCCAGCTCTCCTGGGACCATGGGGGTATAAGTGGCAGCCTGCTTTCATGGTTTCTGCTCACAGCTGCCCCATTCCTCGTTCCTCCTCGTCTCAAGTACTTACTCCAATTCTTTCAGGGGCTGGATGGATGGCACTGTCCTCCCAGAAGGCTCCACCTGGCCAGACAGTCCCCACCAAGACAGCCCCAGCCCCAGGGACCTCTGCAGAGCCCCTGGGTGCTGTCCGTCCCTCATTTCTGGATTTCTGGTCTCTTGGATCTCTAATTGTAAGTCTGAAGATGCACAGATCACGATGCCCCCTAAGTCCTGAAACGTGGCCCCTTCTCATCTGCACAATGGTAGCATGGTCCCTCCTCCTCGGCCACTCTTCCCCAGGGCTCTCAGGGGAGTCCACTGACCTTCAGACCGGTCACTGACATGAGGAACAGTTATGGCATATCACCGCTGTTGTCAGTGCCGGGGCTTGTGGGTTTGACCTTGGGCCTTGCGGTCAGCAGTCCAGTGGTTATTGTAGTGTGCCACTAGGAAGGGATAATACTGCCACCAACTGAGTAATATCTGCCAAGCAGCAGGTGGTGATGCAGCCGGAGACTGGTCTGGCCACTGTGACTGCTGTGTGGTCATGTCCGGCCCTGACCCTGCTGCCATCAGAATAAGCCAAGTGCTCAGTGTGTAAAGAGAAGGTTGTCCCATGTTAGAGGTGAGGGAGCCATGCATGGTTAGGACCAGCTCAGGAGAGCAGAGGGGAGGAGCTTATGGGATAAGGGGGTGCTTCCACTGCCCCTGTGGCAGGGTGCACTCCCCCCTTCTCCCTTCCCACCAGCTGGACTCCCTCTAGCCACATCTTTGTGGAGCAGGGTCTCCTTGCTGTCCACTCCCAGCCAGAGAATCAGAACTAGGGGTCTCTCCTGACACTTTTTACTCCAGGACAGTCCAGCCCCTTCATTTCTGTTGGCTACCTCCTGGCTGGTCACTCTCAGGAAGGGCACTGTGTCCGGACACTGGGAGGAAGAGCCCTCCCCTGGGAACCTTGGCCCAAGGCTGAGAAAGTCTCTGGCCCTCTATTTCCAGATTCCTGGATTTGAGGTGGACAGGGCAGACTCTCTGAATTCCTGTTGATTTCAGTTTGAGTATTTCCTTCCACTCACAACCTCTTTTATTACAAATTCAATGTAAAAATGAGTGCATCCGCCCTTACAAGCTGAAACTTGGCTGAGGGGTGGGGTGGGGTGCGGTTCTCAGGCCTTTACCCACTTGTTCTCCCAGACCCCAGGGCGTTCACCCAGTTCACTGTGATCCCCCTGTTCATTGAGGCTGAGAGTGGGGCCCTGGGAAAGACTGCAAAGGGACAGCTGTACATGGAGCCCCCCTGGTCCCTGTTAGGGACATGCCCACCAACTCAGTTCTGGATCTGACACCCAGTTCCACTTGGCTCCTCCCTGCCCCCCACTCTGCTCTCTGAGCAGGGGGGATGGGAATGGGGAGGGGGAGCACAGTATGTCTACGCCGCCCAGGGAGACGGGACAGGGGATGACTACTGGTAGGTGAGGGGCAGAGAGGAAATGTCAGGAGATGGATCTTCTAGGTACACCAGGGGACCTGCAGAGGGGGCTGGCGAGACCCCTCTCTCTTCCCTGCTGGCCCACGGCTGAGAGGAAACGTCCCTGGGTAGCACTGGATCCGAGTTCCGCTGGAGGGTTGGGTGAACCCCCTAATGCTGGGAGGAGGCAGCCCCTCCCATCCCATCTCTACCAGCCCAGGGATCAGCCCTATTGTGGGGGGGGGGGGGGCACTCCTAGAGCCTGGACCCTTCTTGGTTGTTTTGGCACCAAGGAACTAACTGTCCAAGGGCTCTTCATTCCCTGGACCAGCCCCACCTTCTTTCCTGCCAGGGTCCTCTTGTGCTTCCGGTGGCCCAGGAGGACAAGTGGGTCCCTTCATACCTGAGGGAAACTGAAAAGACCTGAAGGAAGGGTTGGGAGTCAAGAATGGACAGGCCAGGTCAACATGGAGCCCACCCTATGTCCTGCCCCATCACTGTGCCCTGCCCCCACATTTCCCACCCCCACCCACACTGCCCACACCCAGTCCCATCTATCCTCAGGCCTTAGTGCTAGGAAGGGGGTCAGCCTCATGGGCTGCACCCTGGATGCCCCGTGGCCAGGCTGGTGGCCTGCTCCATCCCGACAGGAGGCCCTGGTAGACAGAGGATTGGACCACAGACGGATCTGCGGAGCCGCCTTTCACTCCTGTGCAAGCAGCTGGGGTCTCAGGAACCTGGGTGCTGGCTAAGGCTCAGGGACAGGACTAGTCTGCAAGAAGACAGGGACCCCAGGTGGCTAGACTTGTGGATGAACCCCTTGCAACCCCCCATGTTTCTTGGGTTTGAAGCTTCCTCTCCAGAGTTTCCCAGAAAGGGAGTGGACATGGCTTGGTGCAGTGGGGAGGGGGCAGCCAGAAGGGCAGGAAATCCAGTCAGCGTTCCCTCCCATACTCAAACAGCCTGTGAGGGATCCAATATCCTGTGTGCCCCCATTAGAACCTCTGTGCTCCAACATGAAGGGGTGATGCCCAGGGCAGCCAGGCCCTCCAGTCCAGTTCCTCAGGGCCATTGCCTGGTCAGCCATGGCATGGGGGAGCCCCATGATCCCCCAAAGCCTCAATTCCCTCCGAGAATGAGCAGGTCTGTGAGCAGACAGGGGAGAATTCAGCAGACCTGGTCGGATTGGGGCTCTTGGCAGCAGGGGGCCGAGTCTTGGACCCAGGCAGCACCTCTGACTGCCCTCTCTACCCCCACTCACTGCCCGCCTCCAGACCTGGCTTCCTCCTGGGGGTGCATTCCCATCACTCCCAGGGTCCTGAGCAGGAGGAGGAACGAGGGGAGACAGGCTCCAAGAAACCCTTAGGCCAGGCCCCGGCTCCCTGAGCCTCAGTTTCCCCTGCGGTGGGGCAATGCGGGGCGCTGGAGCCCCTGGAGGGGGCACACTTGCTATGCCTCCGTCAGGACATGGGTTCCCGGACTCTCCAGGGACGGCCAGTCCAGGGAGGTGGGGGGATAGCAGGAGGCTCCGCCCACTCGCCCGCCCCACCCCACCCCGCCCCTTCGGGTGACTGCCCCCAGACTTCAGGAAATGGAAACTCTCCTCCCCTAAGGCAAGACCAGGCTCCCCCAGCCTCCCTACTTCCCCTGGGGCAGCTAGAAAGTAGGCAGGACCACTCAGCCCTAACAGGAATTTGCCCCTCCCCCAGTGGAAACTTTCCCAAGAGGGCCCCAGGCCTATTGCCAAGGCTGTCTGTTCCCTTATAGCAGCTTTATAGGGTACCAGGTGAGAATCAACTTGGGGCAGTGGTTTTGTGGTGGAGAGACTGCCTAGTCCAATGGCTGCTCACACCCCAAGGCTCCAGGATTCTTCAGGTCATGTTCAATCCCTGATCTTGGCCTCCCCTCCCCGCCAGGTCATCTGTGGAGCTTCCTCTCTCCACCCATTCACAATCCGCTGATGAATCTACAATCTGTTGTGCATGAACAGTGTCAGGTGCCCAGCAGGCCAGCTGGGTTTCCAGCGTCTTCTCTCACATGGGTCTGACCCACTCAAGTGAGCCAGGAAGTCTTACAATCCACTGGGCTTCAGCCACACTGCCCCTTGCCTGCCCACCAAACAGGGATCTTCTCAGGGTCTCCTGCCCCTCCCACAGACCCATCTCCAGGCTATCTGTGGCACGTGTCCATCCCTGAGGGCTCAAGGACAGTGACTTACACACCCCACTCCCCTGGTCATATGTATTGGCTACGTCCTTTGGGGTAACAAAGACAACCCGAGTGTAGCCATGTGTGTAGCCCTCCATGCCCCACCTCGCCCACTCTGGTCTCAAGCCCGAGGGCAACTGCTGTCCCACACCTCTGGGTCATGCCCAGTGCAGCTTGGACGGGGAGCTGATTCAAGGACTGGAAAAATCAGCTGCCCAGAAGGCAGTGTGGCAGACTGAGAGGCGTTCCTACTGGGTCCACAGAAAGGTTTACAAATAGGGCATCGTGTCCAGGAGCCAGGATCCGGCTGCCTGGGTCGTCTGCCTTCTGCTCCTCCCACCACAGCTTCCTTCTGTCCAGCCCATTCCTCCCTCTGAGGGGTGTCTCAGCAGAGCCCTGCCTTTCCTGCAGTGGGATTGT